GACAGTCCACCCAGTCATCCTGAAGATAAGTGACAAAGCATCGAAGATACTGCTCCATTGTTTGATTAGTTCTCTCAGTCTGACCATTAGACTGGGGATGAAAAGCAGAGGACAGATTGATTGTAACACCCAAGGCTGAGCAAAAGCTTTTCCAAAATTTCGAAGTAAACTGCACATCTCTGTCAGACACCACATCATCAGGGATTCCATGCAGTTTAAATACTTCTCGAACCATTAGTTCTGCAGTCTGTTCAGCAGTGGGCACCCCTTCACTGGAACAAAATAGGCCATCTTTGTGAGACGGTCAACCACCACCAAAATGGTGGTCATTTCTTTTGAGGGAGGTAAATCTACCACAAAATCCATAGAAATAGACCCCCATGGTCTCGATGGAACAGGGAGTGGCTGAAGCAACCCCAAAGGAGAGGCTCGGGGAGTTTTATTGCGTGCACAGGTCAAGCATGAGGCCACATAGCGTTTGACATCCTTCTTGTACCCCGGCCACCAAAAGGAATGTGACAACAGTTCTTCGGTCTTAGTAACTCCAAAATGCCCAGCAAGTTTGGAATCATGAACCAACTTGAGAGCTTCCACCCGAACAGATTCAGGTACATAAAGATGATGTCCTTGAACCCAAAAGCCATTTTTGTACACCAGGTTCATGTCCCTAGGAGGATCATTTAGAAGTGGATCATTCTCATACCCCTCTTTGAGAAGACTCAAGAATGTCTTTGCACTTGTGGCCCCTAGGAAGTTCTTTTGTGTTAGGATGGAATATTCGGAGTTGCCCTCCAGGAGAGGCTCGGACAGCATCCTTGATAAGGCATCGGCCTTACCATTCCTCGATCCGGTCGATATGATATAACAAAATTAAATCTGGAAAAGAATAGAGACCAGCGAGCTTGTCTAGAAGACAATCTCTTGGCCGAATGAATAAATTCCAGATTTTTATGGTCTGTGAGAACAGTTACAGGATGATTAGCTCCTTCTAGCAGATGCCTCCATTCAGAAAAGGCTTCCTTAATTGCCAGTAGCTCTTTATTCCCAATGTTGTAATTTCTTTCGGCTGAGGACATCAAACGGGAGAAGAAGGCACAAGGATGAAGCTGCTTCTTTTCACCACTTTGCTGAGACAGGATCGCTCCCACGGCAGAATTGGAGGCATCCACTTCCACTGTAAAGGGTAGTTCAGGATCCGGATGTACCAAAATTGGTGCAGAAGTGAAAAGAGTTTTTAGTTTTTCAAACGCAGCTTGTGCCTCAGAGGTCCACACAAAGGGTACCCCTTTCTTTGTAAGCTGTGTGATTGGAGCTATCACTTTAGAAAAGTTTCTAATAAATTTTCTGTAAAGTTGGCAAACCCAATGAAAACGTTGAATCTCCTTAACATTTCCAGGTGCTGACCAATCTACCACTGCTTTGATTTTCTCAGGATCCATGCTCATGCCCTCTGGAGAAATGATATAGCCTAAAAACTGGATCTGGGTTTGTTCAAACTCACATTTTTCCAATTTAATGTAGAGTCTATTCTTCCTTAATCTTTCAAAGACTGTGCAAACATGTTTGCGGTGCTCCTCCCAATTATTGGAAAAGATAAGGATATCATCTAGATAGGCAATCACAAATTGGTCCAGCAGATCACGAAAAACATCGTTGACAAAATGTTGAAATGTTGCAGGGGCATTGCAAAGTCCAAACGGCATCACCAAGGACTCGAAATGCCCATACCTAGTTCTGAAGGCAGTCTTCCATTCGTCTCCTTGACGAATGCGGACAAGGTTATATGCCCCTCGTAGATCAAGCTTAGTAAAGATCTTGGCAGAGCGAAGTCTTTCCAACATTTCAGAGATCAAAGGTAATGGATAGCGGTTTTTAATAGTAATTTTATTCATGTCTCTGTAGTCAATGCATGGACGCAAGGTGGAGTCTTTCTTTTCAACGAAGAACAGGGCTGCCCCCGCTGGAGAAGTTGAGTGTCTAATAAAGCCCTTCTCCAAATTCTCATCGATCCACACCCTGAGTACTTTTAATTCAGGTTCCAACAGATTGAAGAGGCGGCCAAAAGGTATTTCTGCCCCTGGGAGCAGCTCAATGGGGCAATCATATGGGCGATGAGGGGGTAATAGATCTGCATTCTTCTTGTCACAGACGTCCCGGAACTCATGGTAATGTGTGGGCAAGTTGTCATATGACTGGGTAGCCACTATATCACCTTGCGCTTCCTTGGTCGGTGATGAACTTGGTCGGCAAGGTTTTTTGCAATGTTTTTCACAGTGGGAGGACGTAAAATCTATAGTCCGTGCTCCCCAGTTGATGGAAGGATTGTGAGTGGAGAACCAAGGAATGCCCAGGATGATAGGAAACTTGGGTGATGTAATCAGCTGAAAGCTGATGGTCTCACAATGGTCAGCCTCAAACAACAGTTTCAGGGGGACCGTTTTATGGGTAACAGGTCCTGAAGATAAGGGTGACCCATCAACTGTCTCCATATCAATAGGGGTAAATGTGTCTCTTGCTTCAATATTATTGTTGTTGGCAAACTCTATATCCATAAAGTTCCCCCCCGCCCCGGAGTCCAGCATAGCTGGGCAGGAGATTTCATGGCCCTCAAATACAAGTTTAATAGGGATAACAAAGTGAGAAAGTAGGGAGTTCACTTTATTCTCTTCAGAAATCAGTGGGGAGACAGACTGGCTTATAGAGTTTATGTGTTCAGGCGCAATCACATCAGTCACAGCAATAGTTCTTTTAACCTTGTTAGGACAATTAATTGCATAATGACCAGAATCCCCACAATAAAGACATAAATTCTCTGAACGTCTTCTCTCTTTCTCCTGAATGGAGATGGATCTCTTGATTGCATCAACCTGCATAGGCTCAGGAGTGTTAGAACCCAGAGAGACTCTTGAATCCTGCTGAACAAACGGACTAGCAGAGAGATGCATGCCCCTATTACTTCCAAGTATTCCCAGCTTCTCCTTTCTCCTTTCTGTAAGTCTTTGATCGATTCGGATACACAATTGGATGAATTCCTCAAGATCATTAGGAGTATCACCTCTGGCAAGCTCATCCTTTACCTGTTCAGAAAGCCCTTGGCGGAACTGGCTCTTTTGTGCTGCAGGGTTCCAAGTGGTATCTGCAACCTAACTTCTGAACTCGGCTGTGTATTCAGCGACCGAGCGTCTACCCTGCCGCAGACTATGTAATTTTGCTTCGGCAGAAGCACAACGGTTGGGATCATCAAAAACCTGATTCATCGCGGTCAAATAGGTATCAAAATTATTTAGAATGCCATGGTTTTGCTCTATATAAGGGGAGGCCCAAGCTAAAGCTTCCCCAGTAAGAAGCCCAATAATAAACATTACCTTCTTTTTCTCTGAAGGAAACGCAGCAGGGTACATTTGAAAATATATGCGACATTGATTAAGGAAACCCCTGTATTGGCGGCGGTCTCCATTAAACTTAGATGGTTGGGGCTGGGGCATATGTGAGCTAGGATCATCACGGTTCAGCAGTTGCCTCTGCAGAGCCTGAATCTCTCCCTGTTGCCTATCCACAATGCTTTCCAGTTTGGCAACTTTTTCCTGATGGGTAACCCCAAATTCCTGCAGCTCAGCAATTTGCTGCCTAAGAGGATTCACAACACTTGCTATAGCAGCCTCCATGTTTGGGCCAGATTATTCTGTCACGATATAAGGTCAGGTTCAGAGACCAGTTGCTACAGCAGTTGTAAGGCTTACCTGAAACCAGCAGGATTGGTACACCAGTGGCCCACCCTGGGAATGACGCAGGCTCACCTGAGGTGCGGGGTCTAAGCATCCACCGGTCTTCCCCAGAGCTCCTAATGGTGGAGATTAATTTGGCTGCGTGTGAATGCCAGGTCGCAGATCTCAGGATCACCCCACCAGGGAATGAGTAGGCTGGAAACCAAAAGCGGATCAACAGTTCAGGGATCAAACAGAAGCGGAGTCAGTCACAAGCCAAGGGTCGGTCACCAATGGTAGTAGATAGGATGAGGTAGAATCGTAGTCAGTAGCAAGCCAAAGGTCGGTAACGTAGATGAAGACAGCAGCAGGAACAGTAAGCGGGATATTGGATGGTTAAGGCACAATAATCTGGCAACCAGGAAGTGCAGAGACATGGCTTTTATAGGAAGTTCATGGGAGGAGCAAGGAGTTCAAGGTTCAAGACAAAACAGGGCAAAGGCAGGATCATCCAAAGAATTGTCAAGGGAGCTGTCCAGTATTCCAGGTGGCTCAGTGAGAAGAAACACTGTCTCTCACCGCAGAAGGCCCAGGTTCGATTCCAGGCTCTGACAAGTTCTCTATCAAATCTTCTCCCCTTGTGAATGACGGCAGGCAGTGAGCAAAATCCATGACCAATAGACAGCCTGCTACTGGCCATAGAATCCACCCATTGCCTGCTGTCCATCACAAGGAGGGATTGAATGGGGAACTAGTCCTTTAGCTTCCTCTTCAAACCCTGCCCATTGTCACCATCCCTGGTTGCTAGAAGCCAACAGTCCTTGACAGCCAGTGACAGGTGAAGAGAGGGAAGTGGCGGCAAATATATTGCATTGCTACATAGCATACAGAGACAGGCCCTCAGCATGCCTCTGTATGCCAAAGTAAGAGTTGGTCATAATTACCTCCAGTTTAGTTATCTACAAATTGGAGATCATTCTTTTTGAATTTGGTGCAACCAGAGTACCCCTTTGTAAAAATGGTGCTATTAACAACTACCCAAATCTGTTGCACGTTTCAGAAAAACTACCAAAAGTGGCAGCAGGGCTTTTGTGAATCGGACACAGGACCTTTTAATGATCCATACCATCAGAAAAGTGGTTCAAAAGCCTTACTGAATTCCCACCATTGTGTGTAACAACAAGTGGTACATTAGGAGCTTATTACTTGGTTGCTGGGTGAATAGGATTTTTTAAAAATATTGGTTATTTCCATGTAATCATATAACACTAGGACTAGAGTTAATAAGAAATATACCTGCCCAAATACTTCTTCATTCACGGTGAAAGTAAGGTCCAGAATATCATGGATATCATTGTCCTTCATCCACTGCAGGCTCTGGTGAAATTCTTCATCCAAATATTCCAAATCACTCAAATCACAAAGTCTACAAAGGTATAAGATTGAAGATTTAACATATGAATTCCAACATCACCCCTTAATCTAGTTATGTATTCATTAAACATTTTCCTAAATACAGCTTTTATCAATACCTTAATCTTGTCCTTACATTACCTTCCTAGTAAGGTGGTCAAGGTTCTAGTGCATTGCACATTGGTGTCAGTCAGGAAGCTTACTTATAAAAAGTAAGGAAAGAAAAAGAGTGACCTCACCATGTGCTACTGCACTTTAATTGTCCGATGCTGAGATTATTACTTTTTCTTGGAGTTCTTCCTTGATTCTTAAGAGATAAACTTTAAGATAAATATACATCTCTTATATGATTCTATATTACATTTAGGAGTCATATTCTTCCATACTGCACTACACAGGATTCTCAAGGATTCCACACACTGATGACTGCTGGGAAAGATCTAAGTTAGTTAAGGAGGTTGCCCTTTTTTAAAGAGGCTGTAAGTTCCTCTTCCTGTTTAAAGCTGAACTCCAGGAATTCAGGCACTTTCTAAAATGTGCTGAATTATTATGGGTTGAGCCCAGTGAGGTACATGCCACTTCATGGTCTTATCTGTTTAATTTACATTTTTACTGGAGTATTAGCTATCACTATACTTTTGAGGCTCTGGTGCTGAACCTTCTGGTCTTATTTTCTACAGCTGCAGTGTAATATGCAGAAGCTCTGCCTTACCATCCCCTTCTCTCTCCCAATCAAAGAACATTTTGTATTATTTAAACCCATTTATAAAATACAAAGCCCTCTGTGAATAGACATCTGGGGGGGGGGCGCAAATGTATTCGTAAACATGATCTTTTCTCACGGAGCACCAGGATTATAGTGATAGCTGTACTCTCGGCACTTAGTAAACTTGTCAGTTGTAAAGATAAGTGATAAGTCCATGAGGTGACATGCATATTTTAGAAAGTGGCTGAATTCCTGAAATTTGAACACTGAGGGCACTGGATGAAAAGGCGTACCTTCTAAAAATTCTAGACCATGTTTCTAGGCTTTTATTCCTAGCCCACAAGCTCACAGCTTCAAAGTGGATATCCCCCCTCCCCACACACACACACTTTTAAAAGTGGTGTTGCTAAGTGAATACCATGTTACCTATAGAAAAAAATACCTTTCAGGATAGGGGATGTCCACGTTAAGTTTACAGACTTTGAGATCCATGGCTATCTGACCCTGGCCTGGCCTTTTGTCTCTTGTCACCCAACAACTACTTAAAATTTTAAAGTGATTGGAGAATAAACTGAACCGGTATTCCCCTATTGTTATATGTCAAGTCGGGTGCAAATAATAAGTATTGCTATGATTCAATCTATGCATATCTTGTTGTGGATAATAGTTACTAGATCATTTTGATGAAACTATGGGTACAATATTTTTATTGTATAAATCAGAGTAAAATACATAAACAGGGCTGGAGTATACAATAACATTGTGAGTAAATAGATTTGTACCAGCTGTACTACCAATATAACTAGGTCACAAACAATGAGCAATGAGGTGGTGCTGAAATAACTAAATATAAGCTAATTAACACTTTCAGATCTTTTTCTTGCACTGGAAAAGAAACTAACATATATTTCAGGAGCCCAAATCATGAAACATGTCTGCGTTCTGAAATTTGTTATGCTATGAATGAATACAAATCTTCCCCTGATTGGATGAGGCGGAAAGGCAGGCAGATAATGTCACAATCACTGCCTTAGCCAATCAGAGAAAGCTTTAAATTTATTCATAGAATACATAGCTTCCCATGAATGGCTTAGCAGTGCTCAGACCAACTCTTATTTTGTTCCAGGAGTGGGAAGGGAAGCTCCTGTCCCACTTCCAGAACATTGCGCTGTATAATGTATGTAGCTGAAACTACTTAATTTATACAGCGTGCAGCATGCACACCTTTTAGTGCAATAAATAGTTCAGCCAAGCCAGCTCAAACAATCTGTTTATAGGGCCAATAAACTTGAAGTCAGGCTTTAAAAAGAAACTAACATATATTTCAGGATCCGAAACCATGAAACGTGACTGTGTTCTGAAATTTGTTATGCTATGAACAAATACAAAGCTTCCCCTGATTGGCTGAGGCGGAGAGGCAGGCAGATAACATCACAATCTGCACCTTAGCCAATCAGAGAACGCTTTGAATTTATTCATAGAATACAAAGCTTCCCATGAATGGCTTAGCAGTGCTAGCAGTGTGAACCTGAAGATATGAACATTTAACTGTTTTGTCTTCTCTGCAGTTTATTACAATTTCAGTCAAGTTATGCAGCCAATATAGATGCAAACAGAATTCCCTGTTGGCAGAAATATCCTATTCGATTAACTCACATTCGTAGAAGGGCCTTATAAAATGGGCGTGTGAAAAAGGCATCTAGTAAATACTGATGTATGAGTGCAAGACCCAAGATTCGGCCACTGAATCTAAACCTGAAAAATAAACATTACACAATAGTTAAAAAATCCCATTAGAAATAAACATATAGTGGAACAAAACAGGGAGTAAAGGTATAGGGGGAGGTTTACTAAACCAGTGCACACAAAATCTGGAGCAGCTGTGCATAGTAACCAGTTTCTAAGTTTAATGCAGGCCATACATTTTCTTAGAAAATTGGAAATTTTGTGTGTTTTGTAATCCGATGGTGCCACCATTGATTTTGAATTTGGACCAATCAAGCTGTCAATTTCACCTCATGTTGTAACAGAATGGAATTTTTGTGGCTGGGAGTCTTCTTTTCTTTCCAGGTCAGCTCATGCTCATTTCTTTCTCGATTATATTTCTTGCACAATTCTCCCATCAATGATTAGAAATTAGTTAGTTTTTCAAAAAATGTTCAACATGCCCAATCACTCAAATTCGATGGCCGCACAAAAATTGTCTGATGCTCCGACCCACTAATAGTGTGAAATTCGAATGAAAATTCTTAGTTATGATTTTCGAAAGAAAATTCTTTTGCAATTTGACCCATGTATGGCCTGCATTATTATCAAAGCTTAATTGAACAAGCTGAAGTGAGAAGCTAACTAGTTTCTATTCACAGCTGCACCAGATTCCATGTGCACCAGTTTTGGTAAATCTCCCCGACAGTGTACATGTTCTAGCATGAATGTTACACAGATAAGTTGTCAATTGTTAAAAAGAAAAATTTGAACAAGAAGCAAAAACACACCTAACTTCAGAAAGTTAATCCACACGCAATCATTACTGACAGCTTAATGGTAGTAAAGATGGGAAGAGATGCCTTTATTACCTCTACTGTTCGGCAAAAACTGGAAAATGCGCAATAACACTTTGTATCTGTGTGCACCTACAGTTATTTTTGTAGATCATCTTGAAGCAATTTCTTAAGATACAAAACTGAATTTAGTTTAATGCAAATAATCTTGTGTGTTTATATTTTTTCTCCGGTTTGTAAAAATATGCACAAGGGACAAACATTATCTCAGTCATGAGGAAGCTCTGCATTCGCAGGGGTTAAAGTGACAGCTAAATGGTGGAATACTGCTAGGTCATTGCACACTGAGGAAGCTGACAATTTCTGATAGGAACATCCCTACCTCTGCCAAAAGCATAGATGATCTATGTGTTGCATTTGATATAAATATATATGTCTGTTTTATGATTTTTTTTATCAGATTTACAGGAACGAATCTGTTTGTCTTGGTGACAGACATCAAGTTTATAGGAATATGTTTGAGGGGAAACTTCTCAAATGCTGCAGGATACAATGGTAACAGATACCATTGTTGTATTTCAGTTGACAGTTGGAGCAGTCTATTGTTCTGTAACCATAGTGAAACACAGCTTGAATTTTTGACTTACATGACTTACGGCATGTATGATACAACAGTGCCATCTAGAGGGTAAATTGGAAAGATGTACAGTGGGGCAAAAAAGTATTTAGTCAGCCACCAATTGAGCAAGTTCTCCCACTTAAAAAGATGAGAGGTCTGTAATTGGCATCATAGGTAGACCTCAACTATGAGAGACAAAATGAGAAAACAAAACCAGACAATCACATTGGCTGATTTGGAAAGAATTTATTTGCAAATTATGGTGGAAAATAAGTATTTTGTATTTGGTTGAGATCTGGAGACTGGCTAGGCCACTCCAGGACCTTGAAATGCTTCAGCCACTCCTTCATTGCCCGGGCAGTATGTTTGGGATCATTGTCATGTTGGAAGATCCAGCCACGTTTCATCTTCAATGCCCTTGCTGATGGAAGGAGGTTTGCACTCAAAATCTCACGATACATGGCCCCATTCATTCTGTTCTGTACATGGATCAGTCGTCCTGGTCCCTTTGCAGAAAAACAGCCCCAAAGCATGATGTTGCCACCCCCATGCTTCACAGTAGGTATGGTGTTCTTTGGATGCAACTCAGCATTCTCTCTCCTCCAAACACGACGAGTTGTGTTTCTACCAAACAGTTCTGTTTTGTTTTCATCTGACCATATGACATTCTCCCAGTCCTCTTCTGGATCATCCAAATGCTCTCTAGGAAACTTCAGATGGGCCCGGACATGTACTGGCTTAAGCAGGGGGACACGTTTGGCACTGCAGGATCTAAGTCCCTGGAGGCGTAGTGTGTTACTGATGGTAGCCTTTGTTACATTGGTCCCAGCTCTCTGCAGGTCATTCACTAGGTCCCCCCGCGTGGTCCTGGGATTTTTGCTCACCATTCTTGTGATCATTTTGACCCCACGGGGTGAGATCTTGCGTGGATCCCCAGATTGACGGAGATTATCAGTGGTCTTGTATGTCTTCCATTTTCTAATTATTGCTCCCACAGTTGATTTGTTCACACCAAGCTGCTTGCCTATTGCAGATTCAGTCTTCCCAGCCTGGTGCAGGTCTACAATTTTGTTTCTGGTGTCCTTTGACAGCTCTTCACCATAGTGGAGTTTGGAGTGTGACTGTTTGAGGTTGTGGACAGGTGTCTTTTATACTGATAACAAGTTCAAACAGGTGCCATTGATACAGGTAATGAGTGCAGGACAGAGGAGCCTCTTAAAGAAGAAGGTACAGGTCTGTGAGAGCCAGAAATCTTACTTGTTTGTAGGTGACCAAATACTTATTTTCCACCATAATTTGCAAATAAATTCTTTCCAAATCAGCCAATGTGATTGTCTGGATTTTTTTTTTCTCACTTTGTCTCTCATAGTTGAGGTCTACCTATGATGCCAATTACAGACCTCTCTCATCTTTTTAAGTGGGAGAACTTGCACAATTGGTGGCTGACTAAATACTTTTTTGCCCCACTGTATATATATATATATATATATATATATATAAATAAATAAATAAAACCGTGTAATAAGGTAGAAGAGGATACACCAATGTGGGATTGGCTGCCTGAAACATTTCAAATAAAAGGTCGGCAGGTTAGGCTGAGAGGAGGACTCTAAGATGACTTAACACCAAGGAAGAACTCTGACAGAAGAAGAAGTTGTTTTTTTCCCAATCTCCTGCAATTGCTGTAGAGTAAGCCTGGGTCTTCGCATTGCCTATGGAGATCGTGAACACACTTTAACCTGAGTTAAGTAACCTTTTCAGTGCACTACTATTGTATACAGAGCATAGATTCACTGGGAAGTAGGTAGCATTTTTGTATATCTGTCAGTCTTGTATTGTATTCCTATAATTGTAACTGTTTCTATGTACAGAATTTTCATTTAGTAAAAGCACATTAATACATTACGGAGGTCTACATTTCCTTGCTTATAATGCAAAGTAACCTTTACTAGACACCAAGCAAATTATGCCAGGATTAGCACTACAGTTCAACTGAAACAGACCTGTTTTCCGTGATGGGTTCTGTGGCTTTTGCTAAGTAAAACTGCTGCGTAAGTGGTTTAGGAAAAACAAGGCTTCAGAGCTTTCTGGTGACCAGGAGGAGGCATGCACTCTCCCGAACTGGGCCAGAAATAATGAGTGGGAGCCTCTTGCTAAAGAATTGTAAAGTATGCTTCTCGCCTGAATAAGACTTGGGGTGATAAAGTATCAGATTATTTTGTAGATTTTAGCCTTGAGGGGTTTGATTTTAGTAAAGCAGAGAAGAGGACAATGCCCAAAGTGGGTTGGTACTTTCTCCATGCTCTCTATATTGAATCAAAAAGGAAGGAGAAGGCAGAGGCAGAAATTAAGGCAGAAAGCGTTTCAATGTATGTCACCTCTTCTTCAGCCAAAGATACATTGAAATGTATCCTATGTCTGAGGGTGCTTACTATCTCGCAGCTGTGCTAGCTTTCTGCTATTATTGGATCATGTTGGTGGCTGTCATCTCACTTCTTCTGTCCCTGTGGATATTATAGTAATTTTGAGCCATATCATCTTCTATTCATAAGGCACAGATCCGGAGGAAGAGAAAACATGGCAAAATGCGTCGACCCATTACGCCGTGTTGGAATATGTGCCGGTTACAGCCAAAATCTGATATATAGCTCATTGTACGATTTTAAATATGTTTTTCTAATTGTCATAAAGCTTCTCTTGGATTTTATCTATACTGTTTGATATATCCATATTGTGGCACATGTAAAGTCCAAGTGATTTTTTTTTTTTCTACACTCCCAACATAAGGGTTGTGGAGTAAAGGTAATACAAAATCAGAAGGACTGTTACACCTTAAATTTTTCAACAGGATCTCAATCAGTGGGGGAAATTAACCATATTAAATATATTTAGAAGCATTTTTTAGGTTGTAACTTATATCAGTACTAACAGAAATAAAACAGAACTTACCATTCATGATGATTGTCAACGAATGCAGACATTGGACTTATTTGTACCGTATAAGTGTCATTTGCAGAATATTCAAATAAACCATAATATGGGTTAAATAATTCTCTTGAGACAAGAAAAAAAAATTCCCTTGATGGCCCACTGTAGTCCAATCTTAAAAAAAAAAGAAAAAAAAAATAATTGCAGAAAGCTTGTTGACTACTGTTAAAAGTAAAACTGCAACCTTCACCTTTTATTTGAGAAATTACATTATCTAAAGCTTTTTTTGGATTGCCAAATGTCTTGTTAAAAACAACCATCTAATCCAGACATTCAGCATCCCTCTTCTCTGTCACTGACAACGACTGCCATGTGCAGTTTAATGTAGCTGCTGACAGGCAATTCCTAGAACCATTGGCGGTGTCTGTTCTCCAAGCCCCGCCCTGTTTGTGATTTCACAGATTTCTCATGAATGAGCACACACAAACATCCTCATTCATGAGAGAACTCCGATAGGGGAACCTGATGGAAGCGATGATACTAGTTTTAGCCCTCAATAGACACACCTACTGAACACCCTTAAGCTGGCCATAGATGGATTAAAATTCATCCGGTTCACCAGAAACCATTGGTCCATGTGTAGTTGTTCCCCAACAGGAATGTTGGGAAACCTTGTCGATCAGAGGCTGTTGCCGTTGATCATTGTATTTTGACAACAGAATCCCGCTTTCAGAATACAATGTCTCAGTGGAGGAGATCAACTCCACTCTAACGTGACTGTTGGTATATTTGTGTTTGATCAGAGCACGCAGCCAATTGACTACAGTGCTGATCAGTATATTCTGGTAGAGAAGACATCCTGTTTACAGATGACACGGCAGGGAGGATTCATTCACCAACCTCAACGTGTGGATGGAGGAATCAGGATGATCAAAAAAAAAATCACAATATTTCTGATTACTATGCAAAAAGGGAAAACTACAAAAGCCATAGTGTTATGCTTACCCTTCTTCGCCAACAAAAGTAACATACAGCTTATTCCTCTGCAGATCTTTCCTGGAGTATCCCATGATTTGGTTGAAGGCATCTTCAAGTAAATGGTCTCTTCTTATAATTAATCTGAAATAAAAAGATGAGATAAAATAGCGGAAAAACTTGGTAAAGATCTTCATATGTTAAATATGTATACTAGTTTAAAGTGGAAGTAAATGCTACTTGGGCACTTGTACCTACAGGTGAGCTTTATTATAAGCTTAGCTGTAGGTATAATGCACAGTTTATGACATATTCACAATTTATGCAGGTGATTCTCGCTCTCTCATTAAAATGGTGGTTTTTTGTGTAACAAAGTGTTCCTCCCTAGACTCCTAATATAAAATTCAGAATATGTTGGTGTACATATCGGGATCTTTGAGATACTAAAATCTTGAAGAGTCAACGGCAACTTTAGCTTATGGAGCTCACTAGCTATGGTAAGACTTCTGTCACCCAAACAAGACATCCAAGAAAAGGCTGCCCTGGATAGAAATCAAACAATTAACAGACAATAGAACTGTTCCACCAATGATCATGGAGCCCAAGCTCATTTTTATTTATTTAATATTAAGATGAAACTGCCAACATGCTTCCAGGACACAGGAACCCTCTTTCATCAGGGCTTGTGAATTACATAGGCTTGAAAGAATAGAATAATGAAAGATAACAGGTATTATGGTGTATCTGGCATTTATCTAGAACAGTGCTGCAAATCTTTCATGCACAAACCTGGAACAAGTATGCATATCTGAACTATGATCTGACTAAAGTGAATGGTTTAGAAAGCATTTTTAAACTTAAAAACAATATACTGTATTGCAGAATACCAGTACTTAGACGAGGAGATTGCATTCATTTTCCCTTTTAGGGACTTAGGATTTTAGGACTTTATATTTACCAGGTAATCCTGTGAACATACCTCCTGTTCTTGGGTGGCTACATTCACCACTCTACTGATCTTTAGAGGCAACAATAGTTGTCATTCATGCTGGCCTTCATACATTACGCAACTCATATTCTGTGAAATCCAAAATATTAGTGCGGTGCTGTATAGATAATTAAGTGATAAACAGCAATAAAAGTCCATAAATTAAAGTCCTTTTGTAATCACCATTGAATTAAATCAATATTTCCAAAAATCACCACGTGAATATTCAAATAAATCTTCAAATGTGCCGTGCTCCCCTTTCAGGTGTGCACTCACCAGAATTATTTGCCTTCCATTCTCATGGTTGGACAAATGAGCTTTTATATATATATTCCTCCAGAGGAAGGGTAATCTCTCAGGACAGAACACGATTCCTCCCAATAATGATTATTGCTTCTGATGGTTATTGCCTCTGATGGTTACTTCCCACAAACATCACATAAAAAACAAAAGATAGAGACCCGACATGGTGCAGTACCATTTAAAATACTTTATTCTCTGCCCGTGAATCTTACTTACAAGACATCTGAATAAAACAAGCCCAAAGATATGAGCATGTCGGTATATTGGTAATATCAGAGAGGGAAGACCGCACAATGCTCTCATCACTGCCGGTGCTCGCTCTCAGACAATCCCTCGTCACTTCTGGTACCGATGTTCGTTACTTCCGGTTGCCGCTTGTCCAATTCCTGACTTATCACAAAGAGAGACGAAATTGATTTTTCTTCTCAAATCATTAACCCCAGGGGGTTTAAATGTTGAACTGGACATAAATTGCTTCATTAGCAATTCTTGTAGTTAAATGTCATTTGATATTAATAAAACAATTTATTTACATAGGGGCCGAATTTAATATCTATAAAGATAAATTAATAAAATTGTTTAACTATATTCAAAATAAGTGTCAACAGGTACTATAAATTGATATTGTGATCCTTATAAGGATGTATATCATCTACATGTACTATTATTTATTTATTATGTATTATTATTTTTGATTATATATTTAATAATTATAATAGTAAATACATACAGTAAAAAAATAATAGTAAATACATACAGTAAAACACATTTAGTAATTTTTGCCCTTCATTAGTGCACTAGTGGTGACGGGCTTCCGCTAGCTTTAGGGCGTAAAAGGCAATTAGTAATGACGGATCGTGGTAATCAATGATCATGTCTGTGAATCAATTGTACACACTATAAATGTGAGATGCTGCACCGCATAGCCACTCCCTATGAATAAGTCTGGAAGTGACGAAACGCGTCACTATTGGTTACGCAGCAACCGAAAGTGACGAACATCGGAAGCGGAAGTGACGAGGGATTGTCTGAGAGCGAGGACCGGCAGTGGTGAGAGCATTGTGCGGTCTTCCCTCTCTGATATTACCGATATACCGACATACTCATATCTTTGGGCTTGTTTTATTCAGATGTCTTGTAAGTAAGATTCTCGGGCAGAGAATAAAGTATTTTAAATGGTACTGCACCATGTCGGGTCTCTATCTTCTGTTTTTTATGTGATGTTTGTGGGAAGTAACCATCAGAGGCAATAACATCAGAGGCAATAACCATCAGAGGCAATAATCATTATTGGGAGGAATCATGTTGTGTCCTGAGAGATTACCTTTCCTCTGGAGGAATATGTATATAAAAGCGCATTTGCCAACCATGAGAATGGAAGGCAAATAATTCTGGTGAGTGCACTCCTGAAAGGGGAGCACGGCACATTTGAAGATTTATTTGAATACTCACGTGGTGATTTTTGGAAATATTAATTTAATTCACTTGGTGATTACAAAAGGACTTTAATTTATGGACTTTTATTGCCATTTATCACTTAATTTTCTATACAGGGCCGCACTAATATTTTGGATTTCACAGGATATGATTTGTTTATTTTATGTAATGGAATGTGGCAGCAGATTATATGTTTAGCTTATTTCACTGACACTTATATTTTTCATAGCACAGTTTGTGTTTTGATGGTCAATATTTGACCTAGATAAATACAGTGTTTTTTCATTATGGCCTTCATACATGTCTGCCATTGTTCATTGTAATTTATGAAAATATGACAACATTACATTTATGACAAGATCAACAGATACTTTATAAACTTTCCGAAAATGTTCTTGTTATCAGCAATAACAACCCCCATATTTCTCCTAGCATAGACTGGCATAGGACAAAAATTCAACTACAAAGTCTTAATATTATACAGAAAAAAATATAAACTTTACTTTAATTTCCCAGGTCCTTGACCATAGCCTTTAGTTTCTAATTTTCGGTAGAAATTCCGTAACTTAGCTTCAAAATCCCTCTTATAAGGTGCTGGTGCTCTGGCATTGGCACGCTGAGTTCCTATAAAAATCAGAATCCATTAGTTAGGATCAATTTACTTGCAGTTTTGGGTAATGTGTTTATACAATTATCTAACTGCAGAAGGTAAACCGATAGGTCCACCATAATATATATATTTTTGGTTAAAATATACAGTATTGTCCAAACGACTCCAATTATTCAGCTGATTTCAAGTATAAGGCTAGAAGCAAATTGGAGATTCCTGGTAGGGTGGTTGCACTACTGAAATTGCTAGTGAATAAATGAGAGCAGTTACAATCGATTGCAATGCATATGGATCAGATAGCTCCCTGTGAAGTGAAGTAGCAAGTAGCAGTGGTTTATCACACATATTTGCAGTACTGTGCAATCATTAATTGCAAATACATGCTACTTGCATGCCTCCCTCCACAGGGAGCCATTTTGTTTATATGAATAGAGGCCAATTACTAGTACTGGTGATTTATGTAGCACAACCTCCCTATGAAAAAATGCCCTTAAACTTCAAATCGTATGCCTGCAAACAGTTGGACAACAGAAGTCTTTTGGCCGGTGCGGTTTAAATTTACCTATACAATCCCATCAGGTTATTAACTTCTGACATTTGTTTAGTTTTTCATTTATCTGTGGCCCCGCATGAAAAGAATACACAGAAAAGAATTTATTTTTTCTGATTACCGTCATAATGCTTTCAACCTAAAACCACATTTTTGTGTAATTCTAAATGGGACATATAACAGAATAAAATGTTAACTTTTTATTATAGTAACAATATTTGTTTTAACCCTAGTAAAAAAAAAAAAGTTTGATTGTTCAATTGACCAAGTGGAAAACTGTAAGCCGAATGCTGCCTGCATCCATTCAGATGCAAGCACTATTCAGGTATTCTGACAACCAAGCATGTTGGTGGTCAGAATACAGAAGCCAGTTTAGAAGGCCCATCCAACTAAACTGTTAGTGCAGGCCGAACAAAGGAAATCAAGTGTCTAGTTTAAGACAAACTAATAACACACACTGTCACATTACAGCATTTCATGTTAATGAATTCTAAAAGCAGCAGATACTGTACCAGGGGAGTTTTGTGGAGAAGACACTGGCGAGCCACGTGGAGACTGGCAATAGCTGGGGTGTAATAAGGCATGTGGTGGAACATATGACATTATTTCTTCTTCAAAAAGACTGCAGACAAATAAACAAAAGATCATTGAAACACAAACGATATTTGATGCTGTCCAACTGTAGTTATCTTTTAGATATTTCTGCAGTGAAAGGATATAACAGATTGCTGTGCATAACTTGAATTCATTTTCTGAAGAATAAATGTGTTAGGAGTAATCCTTTAAAACACATACAAGTAAAGAAACTGCTATAACAATGGTTTTAAAGTGCTCTCTATGGGCTATGAATTACACCCCGGTCACATCGTGTGTGACTTGGCATGTGTGATTTGCATGTCATGCGACTTGCAAATTGTATGCCAAGTCACACCCTATTGTTCGCTATTAGAGCGGTCATATTGGTGCGGTTCTGACTTGATCGGAGCCGCACCGATTTCTAAAGTAGTGCATGCACTACTTTTGGTGTCATTTGCATAGACATCTGTGTCAGATGTCTTGCAAATCGCACCTCAAATCGGCAAGTCATCTGACTTTGAAATGGTTGCTTTTTATGGCCCCCTAGACCTAAATGAGCATGTAACTCTTGCGGTAGGTGGGCAGACCCACTGCATGGGAGAATTTTTACTTTCAACAGAGTTCTGCTGTAAGGTCTTGCACACACAAGTTTTAGCTTGCGTAGGAGAAGTGTGTACAGCAAGCATTTGCAAAGATTTCAAGGAGCTTTATTGAAGCCTTTAAAGCACTATTTGGCTCCAGTATGAGGTTAAATACAGATCTTAAATGGAAGTGTTGACTGCCACTGCTAGTGGGCTTTGGTCTTAATTGAAGCTTTTTGAAAGCCTGCTACGGATAGTCAGCACTCCCATTAGGATGTACTGTATGTTTGACATCCACAAAGTGGACTTACATTTTTTTAAAGGGTGCAGGCAAAGCTGCATGAACATTTTACAAATGCTTTGCAAAACCTTGATGTGCACACTGCTCTTATACAACCTGATGCCAATGTGTACAAGACCCTAAGGGAGAGAATAAACATATTGCTAGTACAGTATATAGTTACTTTTATGTGTTTTAATGTGGGCAGTCTGTTTGAACAAGCTCTTAGAGTTATTATGGATTAAAGAATAGTCATAGCCTAGTAACTATGTAATATATTATCTGCCACGGTCTGCAGTTAGTAAGATTCAGCATGTAGTATTCATGGACAGACTCATGGAAGAAAGCTTTTATAATAACAGAGTGAAACCGGTTTCTTTATGTGTCTGATGAACAGCTGAATTCCAGCACACTCAAATGGGAGTGCTCAAAGCCAGGGACAATGAACAAACAAAAGGGGACATTTTTTAACCACTTGTCTACTGGGCACTTATACCCCCTACATAAGATGTGATTTTATTAAGTAGTTTCAGGGTGTCATTTGTTGGCCTGTAGGCACACCCTATAGTGGAGTAAATCTTCATATTTCGGTGTCAGAAATGTTTGTATTCAAATGAGAAATGAGGCATGGTGCTGCACAGTTTAATGCACAACCTCTGTCTGTAGCCTGGAAACTACACATTCTGAAATTCCTGAGCTTTTCATTCACAGACACACAGAAAACGTGCCATACAGCTGGAAGATGTTTTTCTTATTTTTTATTACATTAGCACTCCCATACAGAGTGGATGGCAATGCATGCACTTGAACACTGTGACCCAGAACCGGAATTTGTTTTGCCCCTTTGTCCATTACGGTCAGGATAGTTGTAGCAGACCATGGACATAGGGGATTGATCAGCCATGATGCTACAAACTGCAACCACAACATTCAAGCCATGGTAAGGCAAAACAGAGGGAATATAACCAGACTAATACCTAGTTCATACAAAAACATTTGACTGTATACAATGCTTTTATGATGGAAACAGTGGGGAGATTTGGCAAAGGACTTGGAAAATCAAAGAAAAATGGATCAGTTGTACATACATTATTTATTATTTACAAGTGTTCTCTTTAAAGAAGAAGTTTTTAATATTACATAAATAACATAAAAGATAAAGACAATCAGCACTCCCCTCAACATAATAATGATTAGACGAAAGAAAATGCATTGAAAAAAAAAAAAAGACTGCGATGCATTGTTACGATGTAATACACAGTGTGTGCACAACTCATGAGCAACTCAACACCATGAGCAAGCACCCGTTATGCAAACTTTAACATGCACCAGTGGTGTTAACAGACCCTTCAAATCAGCTGCCATATTTTGTTCTCATTTGTTATCGTTAAAAAATGTTTTTAATATACATTTTTTCTTACTTCTTAGATAAAGATTTAACACATTACTACTGTATATTAAAGTGTAACTAAAGGCAAAACATTTTTCTAGTTTTGTACAGAGTGGAAAGGGATTAGAACACCTGTCAGGTTTTTATCACGGCTTGTGCCCCTTTACGGAGATTTCCCCTATTTTTCCTGTTTACCATTATCACCTAGAGCAGGCATCACCAAATGGTGGACCGTGCTCTGCAAACGGACTGAATGACAATCCTATACAGACCGTGGCTCCGACACTTAGCAGCCTGGATGTCCTCTGAAGCTGTTATTCTCCAAACCCCCCACCGCTGCCGATGCCATTGCCACAGCATTCATCTTCATAGAAAGCAGAAGGCACGGCATGTCCAGCCAGCAGGCGGTGGGGTGCAAGGAAGGGGAGGCTGTGAAAAGGACTTGGGTGCAAGTAAGGGGGGGCCTGTGAAGGGGACTGAGGTGCAAGTAAGGTTGTAAAGAGGACTGGGGTACAAGGAAGGGGGCTGTGAAGTGGACTGGAGTACAAGGAATGGGGGCTGTGAAGTGGACTGGGGTGCAAGGAAGGGGGGCTGTATGGGGGACTGAGGTGCAAGGAAGGGGGGTTGTAAAGGGTACTGGGGTGCAAGGAAGGGAGAAACTGTGAAGGGGACTGAGATGCAAGTACGGAGGGGCTGTAAAGGGGACTGGGGTGCAAAAAAAGGGGGGCTGTGAAGAGGACTTTGGTGCAAGGAAGGGGAGGGGGCTGTGAAGGGGACTAAAAAGCAAGTAAGGGGGGGGGCTATGAAGGGGACTGGGGTGTAAGGAAGTGGGGCTTTGAAGTGGACTGGAGAGCAAGGAAGGGAGTTTGTGAGGACTGGGGTGCAAGGAAGGGGGGGGGGGCTGTGAAGGGGGCTGAGATGTAAGTAAGGGGGGGCTTTAAAGGGGACTAGGGTGCAAAAAGACAGCTGTGAGGGGGACTTGGATACAAGGAAGGGGGGCTGTGAAGGGGTCTGAGATGCAAGTAAGGGGGGGGGCCTGTAATGGGGACTGGGGTGCAAGGAAGGGGGGCCGAAACAGGGACTGGGATTCACGTAAGGGGACTGATGTAAAGGGGTGACAAAGGACACTGATATGAAGGGGAGGGGGACTGTGATGTGATGTGGGGGCTGAGGACACTGATGTAAAAGTGGGGGGCATTGTGATGTGAAGGGGAGACAAAGGACAATCAGGAAAGGTGGTACTGTGTTGCAATATAGGGGGATTTAAATGCAAAGGGGGGCTGTATTGTAAAGGGGGGCTGCTGTGATATAAAGAGGGGGTTCAGCAATTTTAAAGGTAGTACTGTGACATAAAGGGGGGCTGTGATGTGAAGAGGGCTGAGATGTAAAGGGGAAAACTGTAATGTAAGGGGGTGGGGCTGTGATATGAAGAACTCAAGTCCTCTGCTGGATGAAAGTTTTAATGACCGGACCTCCATGAAAAGTAATTCAATATCCCTGACCTAGAGTAAAAGTGAAAGAAAATCCTAAATTTTAGGCTGTCACCAGAACAGGAGTAGAGAAGAAAACTTCCAATGGGGCACTAGTTCTTGTGACTTTGGTGATAATTAGGGATTCCCTCACTTTGGAGGGATTTTCTCCCACTTCCTGTTTGGCTATAGGACAGGAAGTGAAGGGAAATTTCCCCAATGGGAAACCAGTGGCGAAAAAAAAAAGTATTGCCTTTAGTTCTACTATAAGAATTACTGTTGCATATATGCTATACTAAATATTCAGTTGCTATATTCAATCACCTGAAACTAGCATGACTTCTTACCTTAATAGAATAACAAGATCTGCATCACCAGAGAGGCGAACAAGTCCTGAGGGTCCTTCTGCCCGAATAAACTGTATCTTTTCCCTGTTTAAAAGTGAAATATTTAAGTCGTTATGACACCATGAATATTAATTAATACAAGCTTTATCTAAAACATAGCCAGAAATACAAAACAAAATTATATTTAATTCTGCTGCATAGAGAAGGAAATGGCTAAAACAAGTTGCGTTTCTTTTGTCATTTCTTTCCTGTTATGGAGATTTCCATTCACTTCCTGTCCAGGACACACAAAGGAAGTGAACAGAAATATTTACAGTGAGGGAACGTTTCAACTTAGATACTTGTATGCAGTTCAACTTTAACCACTTGCTGACTGACTTGCGTTTAAAAACATCTTGTCAGCAAGTGGTTATCCCAGAATAATGACTGCAGCTGCAGCCATGATCCTAGTACCAATTTTTTCAGCCAGTGATAATCTTTTTAGTAAAAGTAATCTGTGTGGCGCTACAGCTGCCCAATACCTTTTACAGAGCTGCAGAGGCCCCACCCTCCTCTCCTCCTGTGATGAATGAACCCAGGAGAGACAATGATTTTGTCACTCCTGGTTTCAGAGCTGCCATTCCCTGGCTGTCACAGCAAGGGATGCAGTCTGCTGAGCACTATCTATGCTCAGGTAGCTGCTTTGGAGAGCAGGGGAGACATCAGGTGTCTAACAGACCCCTGATATCTCCATAAAGAGTACCTTTCACTTGCCTAAAGCTTATTCGCCCTCTTTTGACAGTAATAAAAATAAATGAAAAAAACTAAAAAGGTGTAAAAATTTAAAAGCACCCATGTCACCCTGCAAACACATGCAAATTCAAACACACACACTGATCTGACAAACATATGTAAACGGTGTTGCATCACACGTGGGGTATTGCCATGAACATCTTCATGAGAACAATAATTCTATGACCCTAATTCACGAATAACTCTAAACTGACAACCTGTAAAGGCTTTTAAAGCACGGTCTATGGATAATTCTAGGTGCCTTCGTTTGTTGCCATTTGACAGACATGCGCAATTTTAAATCTTGACATGTTTGGTATCTATTTGCTTAACGTCATCTTTTATATTTTATCAATAAACAAAAAAAAAATGGGTATTATGTTTGTGTGCACTAAAGTTCATTTACGTGTATTTATTCCTCAAAAATTGCACTTGATAAAGGCTGTGTAACATAAAAATTTCAACAGCCAGGATCTCTGCTTTCAGAAAATATATGTTTGGGACTGTGAAAAATTTCAAAACTGCCCAGACAGTGGTTAACGAGGCAATCTTTTTGAGTTGCTCAAACATTAATATGTAATTTTTATGAGTGTTTAAAGCCTTTGTTTTCTAGGATGTTGCATCTTTCTCTATTGGGGACATAGATAAGGAGGTTAAGTTATGTCTTGCCGCTTTCCTCAAAGACTGAACAGACATTTCTTGGCTGAGACTGCTGAGATTCATAGTGAAACAAAATGATATGTTATGTTTACACTCTTCTTTTAGGCCTCTTGCACATGGTATTGATGTTTTTTTTTTCTTTGCTCAAGAATACGCAGCGCTTGTTTATGCAACAGCACATTGTAAGCAATGGACTGCATTTTAGTTCAGTAAAAAAAAAAAAAAAAAAAAGCTTGCTTAAGCTGCAGAGTGCAAGAGGCCTTAAACATCTATTTTCATTTAGTATTATGTTCCCTCAAACTAATCTCCTAGAGCTACCATTTCAGGATGGGTGAAAAGACTGAAAATAACAGAAGTAAATATCACCCTTTAAAATGACACAAAAACCTTCATAACTGAATAAAGCAAGCATAGCGGGGGACTAAGAGATCAACATTCCTAATAAAGACAGGCAGTGATTCTTCTTCATCAGAGCAGTGGAGGAGTTTTTAAATATACAGTCAGGTCCATAAATATTGGGACATCGACACAATTCTAACATTTTTGGCTCTATACGCCACCACAATGGATTTGAAATGAAACAAACAAGATGTGCTTTAACTGCAGACTGTCAGCTTTAATTTGAGGGTGTTTACATCCAAATCAGGTGAACGGTGTAGGAATTACAACAGTTTGCATATGTGCCTCCCACTTGTTAAGGGACCAAAAGTAATGGTACAGAATAATAATCATAAATCAAACTTTTACTTTTTAATACTTGGTTGCAAATCCTTTGCAGTCAATTACAGCCTGAAGTCTGGAACGCATAGACATCACCAGACGCTGGGTTTCATCCCTGGTGATGCTCTGCCAGGCCTCTACTGCAACTGTCTTCAGTTCCTGCTTGTTCTTGGGGCATTTTCCCTTCAGTTTTGTCTTCAGCAAGTGAAATGCATGCTCAATCGGATTCAGGTCAGGTGATTGACTTGGCCATTGCATAACATTCCACTTCTTTCCCTTAAAAAACTCTTTGGTTGCTTTTGCAGTATGCTTTGGGTCATTGTCCATCTGCACTGTGAAGCGGCGTCCAATGAGTTCTGAAGCATTTGGCTGAAAATGAGCAGATAATATTGCCTGAAACACTTCAGAATTCATCCTGCTGCTTTTGTCAGCAGTCACATCATCAATAAATACAAGAGAACCAGTTCCATTGGCAGCCATACATGCCCACGCCATTACACTACCACCACCATGCTTCACTGATGAGGTGGTATGCTTAGGATCATGAGCAGTTCCTTTCCTTCTCCATACTCTTCTCTTCCCATCACTCTGGTACAAGTTGATCTTGGTCTCATCTGTCCATAGGATGTTGTTCCAGAACTGTGAAGGCTTTTTTAGATGTCGTTTGGCAAACTCTAATCTGGCCTTCCTGTTTTTGAGGCTCACCAATGGTTTACATCTTGTGGTGAACCCTCTGTATTCACTCTGGTGAAGTCTTCTCTTGATTGTTGACTTTGACACACATACACCTACCTCCTGGAGAGTGTTCTTGATCTGGCCAACTGTTGTGAAGGGTGTTTTCTTCACCAGGGAAAGAATTCTTCGGTCATCCACCACAGTTGTTTTCCGTGGTCTTCCGGGTCTTTTGGTGTTGCTGAGCTCTCCGGTGCGTTTCTTCTTTTTAAGAATGTTCCAAACAGTTGTTTTGGCCACGCCTAATGTTTTTGCTATCTCTCTGATGGGTTTGTTTTGTTTTTTCAGCCTAATGATGGCTTGCTTCACTGATAGTGACAGCTCTTTGGATCTCATCTTGAGAGTTGACAGCAACAGATTCCAAATGCAAATAGCACACTTGAAATGAACTCTGGACCTTTTATCTGCTCATTGTAATTGGGATAATGAGGGAATAACACACACCTGGCCATGGAACAGCTGAGAAGCCAATTGTCCTATTACTTTTGGCCGCTTAACAAGTGGGAGGCACATATGCAAAGTGTTGTAATTCCTACACCGTTCACCTGATTTGGATGTAAATACCCTCACATTAAAGCTGACAGTCTGCAGTTAAAGCACATCTTGTTCGTTTCATTTCAAATCCATTGTGGTGGTGTATAGAGCCAAAAATGTTAGAATTGTGTGGATGTCCCAATATTTATGGACCTGACTGTATACCGTACTGTCTTCTTTACAGGTAACCATTTTATCAGAAGTCTTATTTACTTTACATAGTTAGTCTAGTTGAAAAAAGACAAAAGTCCATCTAGTTCAACCATAAAAAAAAAAAGAAAAATGAAAGCAATTTATAATGCTATACCATAGGTTTATCCAGAGGAAGGCAAAAAAACAACAAAGCATGATCCAATTTGCTCCTGCAGGGGCAAAAACTCCTTCCTGATCCCCCAAGAGGCAGTTGGATTTTCCCTGGATCAACTTTACTTATAAATGTTAGTATTCAGTTATGTTATGTGTACCTAGGAAAGAATCCAGGCCTTTTTTAAAGCAATCTACTGAGCTGGCTGGAACCAATTCTTGAGGGAGTCTATTCCACATTTTCACAGCTCTCACTGTGAAGAAACCATTCCGTATTTGGAGATTAAATCTCTTTTCCTCCAGACATAAAGAGTGCCCCCTTGTCCTCTGTGATGACCTCAGGGTGAATAACTCTACACCGAGTTCATGATATGAACCACTGATATATATTTATACATGTTGATCATATCCCCCTTAATGCCCTCTTCTCAAGAGAGAATAAATTCAATTCCTTTAATCTTTCCTTATAGCTGAGCTCCTCCATGACTCTTACCAGTTTGGTTGCCCTTCTCTGTACTTTCCCCAGTTCCCCAATATTCTTTTTGTGAAATGGTGCCCAAAACTGAACTGCATATTCCAGATGAGGTGTTACCAATGATTTACAGAGTCACTTTAAAAAGAAACATATTCCACTATGTCACATATTGCTATATAAACACTCAATGAGTATGAACTCCAATCATTTTGCTCAGAAAAGTAAATACATCCATTAATACCTGAGAGAATGGTTTCGGCAGAGCTCATGCTGGCGTTCCTGGAGAATTTCAAAGATGTTCGGTTGACGCAAGAACGCTACAAATTTTTTCATTGTAACCTAAAAATAAGAAAATGCAAAATTAGAAGAGGTAGTAAGAAAAATATACAATGCATCCAGAAAGTATTCACAGCGCTTAACTTTTGCCACATTTTGTCATGTTACAGCCTTATTCCAAAATGGATTAAATTCATTTTTTTCCTCAACATTCTACAAACAATACCCCATAATGACAACATGAAAGAAGTTAATTTTGAAATCTTTGCAATTTGTTAAAAGTAAAAAAAAACGAAAAACAAAAAACACATGTACATAAGTATTCACAGCTTTTGCCATGACACTCAAAATTGAGCTCTGGTGCATCCTGTTCCCACTGTTCATCCTTGAGATGTTTCCACAACTTGATTGGAGTCCACCTGTGGGAAATTCAGTTGATTGAACATGATTAGGAAAAGGCATAAACCTGTCTATATAAGTTCCCACAGTTAACACTGCATGTCAGAGCACAAACCAAGCCATGAAGTCCAAGGAATTGTCCGTAGACCTCTGAGACAGGATTGTATCAAGGCACAGATCTGGGGAAGGGTACAGAAAAAATTTCTGCATTGAAGGTCCCAATGAGCACAGTGGCCTCCATCATCTGTAAATGGAAGAAGTTTGGAACCACCAGGAATCTTCCTAGAGCGGGCCACCCAGCCAAAATGAGAGCTCGAGGGAGAAGGGCCTTAGCTAGGGAGGTAACCAGCACCCGATAATCACTCTGAAAGAGCGCCAGCGTTTCTCTGTGGAGAGAGGAGAACCTTCCAGAAGAACAACCATCTCTGTAGCACTCCACCAATCAGGCCTGTATGGTAGGGTGGCCAGCTGGAAGCCATTCCTCAGTGAAAAGCAAATGGCAGCTCGCCTGGAGTTTGCCAAAAGGCCCCTAAGGGACTCAGACCATGAGAAACAAAACTCTCTGGTCTGATGAAACAAAGATTGAACTCTTTGGCCTGAATGCCAAGCATCATGTCTGGAGGAAACCAGGCACTGCTCACCACCTGGCCAAAACCATCCCTACAGTGAAGCATGGTGGTGGCAGTATCATGCTGTGGGGATGTTTTTCAGCGGCAGAAACTGGGAGGCTAGTCAGGATCAAAGGAAAGATGAATGCAGCAATGTACAGAGACATCCTTGATGAAAACCTGTTCCTGAGAGCTATGGACCTTAGATTGGGACAACGTTTTATCTTTCAACAGGACAACGACCCCAAGCACACAGCCCACATAACAAATGAGTGGCCATGGGCCAACTATGTGAATGTCCTGGAGTGGCCCAGCCAGAGCCCAAACTTGAAGTCGATTGAACATCTCTGGAGAGATCTGAAAATGGCTGTGCACCAATACTCCCCATTCAACCTGATGGAGCTTGAGAGGTACTGCAAAGAAAAGGAGAAATTGCCCAAAAATAGGTGTGCCAAGCTTGTAGCATCATACTCAAAATGACTTGAGGCTGTAATTGGTGCTAAAGCTGCTTCAACAAGAGTATTGAGCAAAGGCTGCGAATACTTATGTACATGTGGTTTTTTCCTTTTTTTATTTTTAATCAATTAAAAAGATTTCAAAATGAACTTCTTTCACCTTGTCATTATGGAGTATTGTTTGTAGAATGTTGAGGGGAAAAAAAATGAATTTAATAAATTTTGGAATAAGGCTGTAATATAACAAAATGTGGCAAAAGTTGAGCGCTGTGAATACTTTCTGGATGCACTGTATTAATATGCATGTATCATTTTTCATATTATTAGTGATGTGCCTATTGTATCATCCTTGTGTAAAGGGCACACAAGACTTTGTTTTTTCATGCTTTATTATACGACACAGGTGAAAATTTAAGATTAAGGTCAGTGATATGATCAGACAAAACCTGTCTTGCGAGAAAATGCAGAAACACCTTGGATTATTTTTAATATACAGAAAAGGTTTTGCTCAATACCAATGTTACAGGGGGATCACAGACAGGACTCCAGGCAATCAGAGCGATACAAAAATTTGTCTTGAGCAAAACAAGTAGTTTCTATTGCTGACTACCTGGAAGTTGATGGGCTGCCATGCTGGTTCAATGGCTTCAGTGCTCTAAGTCTATTACACGATAAAGGGTTCTAGTTTTGTAAATTGAATTTTTGTTCTATATGTAGTAAGTGTGGGTTATAATTCTATTAGTTTTTTTTTCTGTTTACAACTAGAGAGAAGGTTAGAAGAAAAATAAAATTTAGATGCAGGACTCAAACCTAAACTTCTTCATATGCAGATTGACAGTAGCTCTTTTTAACATGATTTTGATCGTTCAGACACACAATGTGGGAGCCATCTGACTAAAGAAAACTGAATATACAATGAAGACAGAATTCCAAAAGATCAGCTTGAAACTCCATATACCTTTATTCTTGAAGTAACAATAAGTAGAGAAGCAGTATCCAAAGTGTTTTGGGGTCAATGAATCTTCCTTTATCGGGGCTTGGGCTTAGAAGATAGTATTCCTACATACTGTATACTATAAAACAATTGCCTGAATTAACAAATGAAAAATGGCTCAGTGGCTTTGTAATGTCAATGCCATTGGCTACTGCTTTTTTACTTATTAAAACTTCATTGTCAATAATAAAGATATATGGAATTTTGGGCTGATCTTTTGGTGTTGTCTCTCTTGCTCATTCAGGTTTTCACCAGGGTCACCAGAAATAGTGTCCCTACTGGAAGATTTTCTCTCTATTCCTGTTCTACTAACCACTCAAAATTTGGGATTTTCTTTCACTTTCGTTGATAATAGTCACCAGGACAAACAGAGTGAATCTCTCTATAAGGGACAGAGACAGCAATAAAAACCTGACAGGTTTTCTATTCTCTCTCTAGTCTATCCAAAACTAAGTGTAGCTGAAAGCAAAACTTTTTAAAGTAAACACTACAAGTAGTGTGCCAACTGAAAAATGCACTATACTTTCCCTTCAACAGAAAATTTCCACTGCGTTCCTTCCCTCCACTCAACTGCAGCAACTCAGGAAAGAAATGAATGTACGTGTGAATTTGAAATCCCCTAAAAGTTGTCTTCTGCTTGTATCTGTACTTTTTTATATACACGCAGTTCAAAATAAATTCCATAACAACATTTCCTTTTCCTTTTATCTGTAAAATAACAGGCTACAGGATTACCTAAAAGTGAGTGGTACTAAGCACACATGTATTTACTTTGTTGTTTTCTTCTCTAGTCATAACCACATACACTACCATTGTAAGGACATTGCACCATTTCCAAGGACAAAATATTTGCTGTTTACCTGTTAAATTTGTCTTGGGCTCTACCTAGTGTTCACAGTGTGCAATCCTACATTAAAGTGATTCTCTAGTCTCCTGTGGAAAAATTAAAAGTCAGCAGCTACAAAAAAAATAGATGCTGACTTTTAGTAAAACTGCCACTCACCCATTCAGGGATCCAGCACCATCCTGGCCCAAGCTGGCTTCTTCTATCCCCAGTGATGACATCCTAACTGTGGGCAGCCGGCTGTGACTTACAGCCTCACAGTTGGCTTCCCAGTGTGCATGCACTTTCAGTGCTGCACTTTCTGAATGGTCCCACACCCTTCTGGGAACTGTGATGGGTCCCAGACGACTGCAGGTGGGGGGAGGAGAACGTTTGCTTGGATCAGAGGAGAGGGGGAGGAGGAGGAACAGCGGAACGTCCCCTTTTGGGACACTAAAAATTCTTTTTTTTTCTTCTTTAAAAAAAACAAACATGTTATACCTACCTGCTCTGTGCTAGGGTTTTGAACAGATCAGTCCTGGATCTCATTTTCTCAAGTCCCTCGTTGGCACTTCTAGCTCCTCCCCTCACTGAGAGCTGCAAAACCCAGCCATCACCTTAGCACATGTCTACAGTGGAGAGCTACACTTGTGTCTTGTCTCAGTGGCAGCATCGCTGGTAAGAACTGGATCTGCTTGTACCTAGTTATCTGCCACACACTTCAGTAAAAGAAGACACTATTGTTATATCTAATGAATTCTAATTGTATTGTTTTCTATTTGTTCCAAGTTTTACCCCACCCTGTTCATTTTGATAAAGCCTCAGTTGTTCACACAATCCAGTTTATTGGGGGATCGGAAGGTTTAGCTGCATGTCAAGCTGCACACAGGATAATGTGTACACAGTTACATAGTTAGTTTGGCTGAAAAAAGACAAATGTCCATCCAGTTCAACCATAAAAAAAAAAAAAAAAAAAGTAAGAGGAAGGCAAAAAAAAACCCCAGCAAAGCATGATCCGATTTGCTCCTGCATGGGAAAAAATTCCTTCCTGATCCCCTGAGAGGCAATCGGATATTCCCTGGATCAACTTTACCTATAAATGTTAGTATCCAGTTTATATTCTGTGTATCCAAGAAAGAATCCAGGCCTTTTTTAAAGCAATCCACTGAGCTGGCCTGGAACCAACTCTTGAGGGAGTGTATTCCCCATTTTCACAGCTCTTACTGTGAAGAAACCTTTCCGTATTTGGAGATTAAATCTCTTTTCCTCCAGACATAAAGAGTGCCCCCTTGTCTTCTGTGATGACCTCAGGGTGAATAACTCTACACCGAGTTCACTATATGAACCACTGATGTATTTACTGTATACATGTTGATCATATCCCCCTTAATCCCTCTTCTCAAGAGAGAATAAATTCAGTTCCTCTAATCTTTCCCCATAGCTGAGCTCCTCCATGCTTCTTATCAGTTTGGTTGTCCTTCTCTGTACTTTCTCCAGTTCCCCAATGTTCTTTTTGTGAATTGGTGCCCAAAATTGTACAGGGGTAAAATTATATCTCTCACTCTCTGAAGACTATACCTCTTTTAATACAAGAGAGGATTTTGCTCGCTTTAGAAACCGCAGCTTGGCATTGCATGCCATTATTAAGCTTGTGATCTACTAGAACTCCCAGATTCTCCACTATTGATTCCCCCAGTTGTACTCCCCTAGTATGTACGATGCATGCATATTCTTAGCCCCCAAGTGCATAACCTTACATTTACCAACATTAAACCTCATTTGCC